CCGCTCAATGCTGCTCTCTCTCCTTCTGCAGGGTAACTGGTCTTGTCTCCGCCCCCCCTGTAGTTTCCTGTAGTAGGTGGGATCTACTGGGTCCCTCCCACAGCTCAATGATGATGTCACTGCTACTTTTACGAGGACATATCTGGGTGTTCAAAGTCTTTTGGTGAACACAATGTGGATTTATATCCTTTGCGGCTATTGAGAAAAAAATTCCAATAAAATTTTTTTTGTGCCTGTAGTTCAGCTTTAAAGCTAATGTCGGCTGTAGGAGTACAGCACTCCCTGTGTGACAGCGCGGAGACTCTCCCTGGTCAGCAGTGACACAAAGCTCCACCCGGAGAAGGATTAGGGAGATGACTGTAGCAGAATTATTGGATTTAAAATACAATTATCAGACGGATAGAAAGCAGCACAGGCTGCACTTCATAGAAAGCTGTGTACAGAAGAGAGAGCTCCCTGCCGTCTATACATCCTGTGCTCATTTATAGGAAGCAGAGACACAGATTTATGTGTACCAAATGGTAACTGTAGACTTTGGGCCCAGAGTAAGGGGGACATTTAGGGCCCAGAGTAAGGGTACAATGTGGATTTATATCCTTTGCGGCTATTGAGAAAAAAATTCCAATAAAATTTTTTTTGTGCCTGTAGTTCAGCTTTAAAGCTAATGTCGGCTGTAGGAGTACAGCACTCCCTGTGTGACAGCGCGGAGACTCTCCCTGGTCAGCAGTGACACAAAGCTCCACCCGGAGAAGGATTAGGGAGATGACTGTAGCAGAATTATTGGATTTAAAATACAATTATCAGACGGATAGAAAGCAGCACAGGCTGCACTTCATAGAAAGCTGTGTACAGAAGAGAGAGCTCCCTGCCGTCTATACATCCTGTGCTCATTTATAGGAAGCAGAGACACAGATTTATGTGTACCAAATGGTAACTGTAGACTTTGGGCCCAGAGTAAGGGGGACATTTAGGGCCCAGAGTAAGGGGGACATTTAGGGCCCAGAGTAAGGGGGACATTTAGGGCCCATTCACACTTGTGCATTGTGGCAACGGACACTGAAACACGCACATTAACCTGTATTGCCACAGCACATGGCAATACAGTACCTTGCATTGCGGTGCTCTTTATTGTGATTGGCACCCCAATGCATGGTACAGTAAAGTGCAACACACAATGCACCAGAGAGCACCGCAACGAGCATACCGTGCATTGGGCTGTGCTGCATTTCCCCCCCATCCATTGTGGTGCATTGGCAGCCCTAAAGGAGAACTATGCGGTTAGGGCTTCTCCTAAGGGTGACGGGAGGACATACACTAGCGTTCTCCAATCCCCCTTCCACCCGCCATTCCTCGCTCAGCTGATAGAAGGAGCAGGTTGGAAAACTCCAAGCCGAACACTTGTAAGGACTCATTCACACAAGAAAAGGCCGGCATGTACAGCTCCGTGCTGCGTGCACGGACGTATCGGGCAGCTCCTGGGAAGGACAGGGGATGCATACTCTATGGGAGTACGCGGTCATACGCTCACCCGCCCTGCACGTCCGTGCTGGTGTATGTACTCGTACGCTTACAGGATGGATCCTGTCTGCGTCCGAGCCGGAAAACCAGCACCTGTACAGACCTGCACTTGGGGTGAGCGTAGGGCGGCGTATGGCGGTGTACTCCCATAGAGAAGGACGGGGGCTGTGTACTAATCACACGCAGCACCTGTCCTTCCCGGGAGCTGCCCGATACGGCCGTGCACGCAGCACGGAGCTGTACGCGCCGGACGATTCTCATGTGAATGAGGCCTTAGCGTTGATGGAGGAATCTGTTATATTTTCTTCATTCAGCCGGCAGGTTGAGCAATAAAAGTATACACGTGTATACCCAGCTATATAGTTCCATCTTGTTTTGGGTTTGGCGCTCTCCCAACACACGTAATGTCAATCTATTTCACCGATAAAGTCATCTTTCCTGCCCTGTCCCTTGTACAGTCCTTGGAATACAAAAGGTTGGAACATATTAATTAAATAAGATCGTGTCCAAGTTGTTTTATCCAAAACTAAACAAGACTTTTTTTTTTTTTTTTTTACTGTGCTTTTTTTCCTTTCATCAGGTAACATCTTGCCCCATTGTTCACGCACCTCCCTCTGTTACTTCCGTCATTCCTGCACTCCGATGTTTAGTAACCAGCGGCCAGTCCCAGCTACCTCTATTGTTCATTATTTGCACTGAAGACAGACTGTCCTCTCGCAATCACTTTTTCTTTGTAACAATATATTTGTTTTTGCTCTGAAAAGACCTAGCCCCGGGGTCTGCAACCTTTCGCACATTAAAAGTCCATTTTAGAACATTAGACAACCAGCGTGCACAATAGCGCGCCGTAGCCTAATAGACCATTTTCAATTTTTGCACTCAGAGTTGTACTGCAAATGGCAAGATAAACTCAATTATTATATTAACAGCTGCACACACAAAACATCTTCATGTTTCTGTTGGAACTATATAAATCCTGTATAATAATAATAATGATGATGTTCACCATTTACATGTACAGGGCAGTAAATTGGACTTTTGTGTGATCCCTTTGCCTGTCACGGCTTAGTTGTGCTATGTTTGGCCTGTAGGATGTTACAGGATAAGCTCCCTTCGAAACAACGTACACTTAGGCTCCGTTCACACCAAGGTGTAGCGGGGACACTCATCGCGGAAAAGCACGTTCCCACACGTTTGTGGGACTTTGTTTCCTGCATTTGGTGCATGTCCCCATCGGGTCCTTGGGCACGTGACAACCACGGAAAAGCAGTACATGTTGCAAATTTAGTGACGTGTTCTGTGTGTGTCCCCCCCCGCGCATGTATATGCTCAGCTATGATTGGGATGCCATTACCTAATAATGGGGATGCTAACGCGTTCTGCGCTTGTGCACATATCGTTTATGCGAGTCGAAGCGTGCGCGATTGACCGGGCTCACCATACGCCCTGGTGTGAAAGAGGCCTTATTCTTTTTTTGACCCCTTCCATTGACCGAACAGAACCCGGCCTGCAAGTCCTCTCTCGATTGGCAACGCCTGCACTGTAAATCCCCATAGACATCTACAGTGCAGGGCTGTACAGTGCACTTGTAGGCAGGAGAGAGAAGACTTGGGGTTCAGGATGTAAACGATCTTCGAGGGGTTGAAGATGGACTTAAAGGAGAATTATGAGGTGAGTGATTTTCACTCAGCCTCATAATCTGAGCCGACCTGTGACAATGAAACTGTCACAGGTCAGCTCAGTAGATCGGGAAGTGAGTGAATACATACCGGCGCTCGCTCGATCCTGTGCATTTGAGTGCGTTTGTCATTTGTTTTGCTATACTAAGCTTAGGGTGACGGGAGCACGCTAGTTTGTGTCCTCCCGTTACCCTAAGGAGAACTATGGGGAAAAGCCCTGACCCATAGTTCTCCTTTAAGAACCAGAACTCGTTAACTGCTCGTTTTGGTTCGGGGCACGGATTTGATGAAACTACAAATCCCATGATGCATTTCTCTCCGGGAGTCATGTCTGTGGCTGTGAGAATCTTGCAATGCCTCGTGTGCTTTGTAGTTCCACCACAGCTGGAGGTCCAGAGTTTGGCTACCCCTGGTCTAGGGAGACAAATATAAAGTTATACAAATCGGATCCTCGGAGCCCTAGACATAGAACAACAATATCAGTGTGGCGGCGGAGCTCCCTCAGACACGTCCGCTCTGCTTCACATCTCGGCCACGCCCCCCATAGAACAACAATATTAAAGCAAAAGATGTCACTTCCTGTCATTCTTATGTAGAACTGATTTGGCAGTGAACATTCTGTCCATTTGTATCCAACATTGTAGAGTTGTCACAGGAACAAGAGGTGACGGGAAATCTCCCAACGGGTAAACCTGTTCTGGTGACGACCGCGATTTGGAGAGATTTCCACTTCCTGCTGCAACTCATGGACAGGAAGTAAAAGAGAAATCTCTTGACGGGACACAGACAAAAATCAGGAAACAAACTGTCGGTGTTCTTAAGTTTCCAAACATATCCAAAATTTTAAAAAGGTAACTTTTCTTTTCCTTACATTTTGCCCTGTTATGTGAACTTATAAAATGAAACAACTCGTGACGCAGACGTATTTCCAAAACATTTTATTTTCTGAAATTCTTCACCAAAAAAAAAAAAAGCAATTTTTAAAATTTAAGTTTTCAGTTTTGAAAGTAAACAAAAACATTCAAATAAAGTATATTGCTTAAATAAGACCCCTTTCCTGGTGCGACACAGTTCACAGGGGCTGGAGAAACAATGGTGTATATATATATATTAGGGCTGGTAATTATAAAAAAATTTGTGTTCGATTTAATCTATTTTTTTAAAAATAGATTAATCGATTAATTTCGATTAATTATAACGCACATACAGATCCAACTACATTGGCCTATACACATACAACACAGCAATGAAGTCATAAAATGAACCAGCACGTTATTAATCTCATCCCTTCGTTAGTCGACGGAGCCACTTGGGGAAGGGGGGAGGAGTCCGGTGACGTCGATGTCCGTGACGGCTAAAGAAGGGAAGGGGGGAGGAGTCCGGTGACGTCACCAGATCGCCGATGGGACTCCCGGAAGTGTTTTCATTAGCGATCAAAATAATTTTAATCGATCAAAAAGTTTAACGATTAATCGAGAAATGAATCTTTAATTTCCACAGCCCTAATATATATATATATCTTGCACTGTCTTTGGTATATATTATAGAGCTCACAGTATATGTATTTCATTCTGAAATCTGTGGATGGGAAATGACAACTCTGTACCAATATGGGTCAGTTATACTAATCAGTCAGAATTTCTTTATAATGTACTTAAAGTCTGTATCTATAGAGCACAAGCAGGTAAATATCGGCAATAACGTTTGCCAATATCCATGTAATGCATGTGGATGGGATCTATTAATAAAAGTGGAGATGGAATGTAACGCTTCTTGCTCAGATGTACAATGTGTAGTGTGGTCACACGTCTAGCTGGGCTCACCCGGGGTGCCTCCTAGGCATGTAACCTGACAAGACTGCGCACCAGGACAGGGGCGATGTCATCACATTAATAAGAACTGGCTCAGAACGATTGCGGAGACACAAATATCCTCAAGCGGATGATGGAGCTGCCTCTGAAGTTGACCACGGTGTTCACGGAGACCATCTCTAGGTCCAAGACCAGGTCACGTGGCCCTTTCCCCACTTCCAGGTGCCATTGTAACCCGATAATCAATGTTATTCACTTCACCTCTCAGTGGTCACAATGTTATGGCTGATCAGTGTGTTCCGCCTGGCTGTAGTTCAGGCTGGAGTCATACATGGATCGATATTTGCTGCTGAATCAGCCAAAATTTGAGCCAGGGGGAGACGACAATCAATTTAAAAATCGACTGAGCTGGGTGGAAAATTATTAGCCGAATAGTGACAGCATCCTATCAGATGCAATCACTGTTCAAGGATTCAAGCAAAACGCGTGTCCTGTGGCTGTCTCTATACCGTTACCGGCAGAGGTTCCTCTATCCATGTTGTTTAGCATGAATGGGTATATGGAGGGATTTTTCTCTTGGCCTTGACGTGTATGGAGAGCATTACATTCAGGGCAAAAAACAGCAACTGCACAATACCATTTGTAGAAATTTGTCTGAATCGGTTGCATTAAATTCAGAACGAATAGAATGTAATAGAAATGTATTATGATTATGTCCAGTGGTCGGCCATGTTGGGGGTTGTAGTGCTCTATGTATAGAGTGTAATAGAATTGTATTATTATCATGTCCAGGGGTCGGCCATGTTGGCGGTTGTAGTGTTCTAGGTATAGAATGTAATAGAATTGTATTATTATCATGTCCAGGGGTCGGCCATGTTGGCGGTTGTAGTGTTCTAGGTATAGAATGTAATAGAATTGTATTATTATCATGTCCAGGGGTCGGCCATGTTGGCGGTTGTAGTGTTCTAGGTATAGAATGTAATAGAATTGTATTAGGATGGTGTCCAGTGGTTGGCCATGTTGGGGGTTGTAGTGTTCTAGGTATAAAGTTTAATAGAATTGTATTATCATCATGTCCAGTGGTCGGCCATGTTGGGGGTTGTAGTGTTCTAGGTATAGAATGTAATAGAATTGTATTATGATCATGTCCAGTGGTTGACCATGTTGGGGCTTGTAGTGTTCTAGGTATAGAGTGTAATAGAATTGTATTATTATCATGTCTAGTGGTTGGCCATGTTGGGGGTTGTAGTGCTCTATGTATAGAGTGTAATAGAATTGTATTATGATCATGTCCAGTGGTCGGCCATGTTGGAAGTTGTAGTGTTCTAGGTATAGAGTGTAATAGAATTGTATTAGGATGGTGTCCAGTGGTCGGCCATGTTGTGGGTTGTAGTGTTCTAGGTATAGAATGTAATAGAATTGTATTATTATCATGTCCAGTGGTCGGCCATGTTGGGGGTTGTAGTGTTCTAGGTATAGAATGTAATAGAATTGTATTATGATGGTGTCTTGTTCACTGAGAAAATAAACAAAACCTGTAGCTTGCCCAGGGGCCCCTATATATCAGAGTGTGAACATACAGGTCTATATATACACCCAGTACAGGATGTCAAGGTGTTCTACCTCTCACATGTTGCAGCAGATTAAGCCATTAATAGTTGTTGTCCAAACAACATTTATTTACTGATCTATAAAAAAAACAGCTCTACACGTCATACACTGTGTGCTCGTACGAATATAGTCAACCCTGAATGTATGGAAAATCCATTAGTTATACCTACAGTTTACAGGAGACTACAGCACTGATTATATGGGTAAAAAAAAAAAAAAAACAACCCTGCCGTGGGGCTCCCTCAGCAATTCGAGGGTTAAAGTAATATTAAACTCAAACTTTTATCAAAAATGAGATACGAGCAAACTAATTTATATTGCCCAAATTGTTTACAATTATTTTATTTAATTTTATTACCGCTTTTTTTTTAACGTAGTGAAATACGCCAAGGTGGGAACGAGACCATTGAATACAATGGGATTTATATTTTTGAGCGTTTTGTAGAGCGTTTGTCGAGCGTAGAACGCGCTACAAAACGTTCAGGTGTGAACGAGGGCTTAGTCCTTAGTTTACAAGCCCCCTATGTGATAGCATACTAGTGGCGACAGGATCTCTTTAAAGGTGACATTAGGGGTCTATTAGACCCCTAGTGTCACCTTCCCACTCCAAAGAGGCTACTGGAGCGCAGATTGAGCGTCAGTGGCTTCTTTCCTGGTCTCTGCTACTCCGCAAGTGATGCAATCAGCATCGCTTGCAGCCCCATTCAAAGTGCATTGGATCGGCAAACGTGGGGGCCCAGACTATACTGGCCCCCCTCAGCTGAAGGAATCGCTTCCAGTGTAACGCCAACAGTCAGCTTTACACATGTGAACAGAGTCCCCGGTGGCTGAGTTTGTTTAAAGGGGCCCGCTGCCAGTATGGCATACGTTAGTGGCAGTGCAAGGGTTAAATCTCTGATCTGAAACAAGTGAGCAGGTAAGGACTTCCTGACTTTTGTGATCTGTATGCTTGATTCAGGGTAGTGACTCTTAGGCTGGGTTCACACCTAGGCGTATTACGTATGCACGTCTGTCGCGCGAACGTCACGCGGAATCGCGGTAAAAAAATTGCGCGACCGTCGCGCGATTCCGAAGGCTACTTGGCTGTATCCCAATGAAAAACGCCCTCCAAAACGGCCCAAAGAAGTACATGTACTTGTTTGGGCGTCAGCCGTTTTGTAGCGCGTTCAGACGGGCGGAAATACGGAAAGGTGTGAACCATACCCATAGAAAACAATGGGATTTTCATGGTTGTACGTTTTGTAGAGCGTTCATAGAGCCTTGAACGCCCGACAAAACGGAAAGGTGTGAACGGGGCCTTAGTATTGAAGCCAAAGGGTTTAACAAGGCCAGGCAACCAGCATGTTTTATAAGAGGGTCCCTATATTCATTACAGCTGCACTTTAGCCTATCCACAATGGTCTGAACGCGAGGACCACCAACTTGTAATAAAAAACAAAAATTAAAAAGTTATTCAGGCTTTTCTTGGGCCTCTCAACCAGAAGGTCTCATCACTTGTTTTTAGAGTGATACAGTAATATAATATCATATGCAGTGGTCAGTCATGTTGGGAGTTGTAGTGTTCTAGGTAGAGTGTAATAGAATTGTATGACTATGTCCAGTGGTGGGTCATGTTGGGGTTATAATGTTCTATGTATAGAGTGTAATAGAATTGTATTATGATGTGCCCAGTGGTCGGTCATGTTGGGGGTTGTAATGTATGTATAAAGTGTAATAGAATTGTATTATGATGGTGTCCTGTGGTTGGTCATGTTGGTGGTTGTAGTGCTCTATGTATAGAGTGTAATAGAATTGTATTATGATGGTGTCCAGTGGTCGGTCATGTTGGGGGTTGTAGTGTTCTATTTATAGAGTGTAATAGAATTGTATTCCGATGTGTCCAGTGGTCGGTCATGTTGGGGGTTGTAGTGTTCTATGTATAGAGTGTAATAGAATTGTATTATGACTATGTCCAGTGGTCGGCCATGTTGGTGGTTGTAGCGCTCTATGTATAGAGTGTAATAGAATTGTATTATGATGGTGTCCTGTTAGAATTGTATTATGATGGTGTCCTGTGGTTGGTCATGTTGAGGATGTAATGTGTTTGGGGACATTAGGTGTTTTTCTGTATCATTTTCTACAATCCTCTTACCCTCATGTAGAATTCTCTCCCCTCATTTCCGGATTTGATCTGGAAGATGTAGTAGACGCCGGGGTAGCGGCTGGTGGCTTGCATCTGGAAGATGTCTAAAGGGACCCGGCTGTTGGAAAAGATGTCCATGTGTCTGTGCACAATGGTGAAAGGCTCGTCCCGGCAGGTGGGGTTCTCCACAGGACACATACAGCGACTAGGATGAAGAAATACAAATTAAAGGTGTGATGTGGGTGGTATAGTGACTCGGTAATAAAATTCCTGACAAGTTTAACCAATCAATGAGCTACTAATGCTATCCACTGAATGTTGCCAATGTACTAAAGTTCCAAAATCTACTCAATTTAGCTTAACCTGAGATTTATCTTCTGCCAGCAGTCATCCTGCAGCTCTCCGCAGGATCACTCGCAGTGTACTTCCCATGTCCAGCACTGCATTGCCACCTTCTCTCTGCTTCCTGTATTCCCAAATACATTCACACTTTGTGGTCGGCAGAAGTGAATGCTGGTCGGCAGAAGTAAATGCTGGACAAGTTCTCTGAGGGCTGTTTTTTTACGCTCTCCTTGCATCTATTGTGCTAGAAGACGACCTAAATAAATGACTCAGAAGAGGGACCGCTAACTTCCACCTAATTTCCCAATTTCTAAAAACACAGACAAGATAAAACAATTGGGTTTCATGCAGCATACAAAAAAAATAATGCCGCCTCCTTCTCCAAACGTCTTTATTAAACAAAATGGATTTTGCTGTGTATAGAGCGGTATAAGTGATCTAAGTTATCAGTAAGCTTTCTAAATTGGTGCAATTTACTTACAAAATTGAATTGGCTGGATTTTCGACTTGAAACATAAAATTTGAAACATATGGCACATACAAAGGAAGAAATAGCTCAGGGCAGCCTAATAATACTCTGCTGGAATCATTATTTGCTGCCATAGGCCCTGTAATCTTGATTGCACTCTACAGTCATAAGTCATATTCGTCTGCACTCACTTGTCATTGATCTGGATGTACGGCTCCTCACATCGCACGGGATCTAAACACTTGTAGGTTCCAGGGATGTTGAAGCACGTCTGCTGAGCAGTGCAGGTATTGTTCCCCGTGTCACATTCATCGATATCTGGAAAACAGCAATGTACAAATCACACAGCAACAGTATATATTGAAACACTCTGGAATCAGCTGGCATCTAGGCCTTATTACAAGCTAAGGGTGCCCACCAGGGTGTCCATTGCTGCCCTGACCCAACGGGGTAATGCAATTCTCAGGCAGGATCGGGTCATATAAAAAAGGTATTATTAAATGGCAGTAGCCATTTATGGAATCCAGGATACTCTTTATCGTGCAAAGACATTGTCAACCATTTAGGAAAATCCCTCTGAAATCAAGCAAATCCTTCATTCTTTAAGACCCCGTTCACATTGAGCGATTTAACGCGCGGTAATTCCCGCGATATCGCGGCAAATTACCGCGCGATATCGCGCTCCAATGCAATCCAATGGGGCAAAGGGTCCTGGTGTCGCGGGTCGTGTGTCGCTACAGCAGGACCCTTTTTTGAGCGGATTTAGCCGCGATTCAAGCTTGAACGCGACATCGCGCGGCAAATCTCGCGATGTCGCACAATATGCAAATCGCGCGACAAACGCGCGATTTGCATATCGTGCAGTGGGAACGGGCTTAAGGAGCAGCGTCAAGGATGGTGCCCACCCTCATATCCATCACTTTTCTTCTCTGGGCAGTGTGGGCACATCCCTCTCCAGCAATCCCTAGATATCAGCTGTGAAAACTCAGCTTGGAAATCAGACTTTTGAAGGTAAAGTCAAACTATACACAGTCTTTCTAGATAGAATTATATAATTTTACCTTTCCTGATTGGAACTATTTTTTTCCCCCCATTTTGGCTGAAGTAGGTATTAGGTAGTAGTAATAGGTAGTATAGGAAAGGGACAGATAAGGGATGCTAAAGTAAGACTAAGTAAAGTAAATTTCCACAGCCACTATCTAGAGATTGATAGAGTGCTGTAACATTATAGAGGGGGCAATAAAGAGCTTACACCTGGCCTTCATGCACGGGTACTGTTATATGGAAGTGCAGGAGGAATGGCATTGTTTATTTTATAGACTCATTATATTATTAACATTTTACTTGATGTGGCTCTAGTCACTCACCTTGACATGTCCGACTGTCATCAAGCAGCACATAGCCGTTCGGACAGCTGCAGTAGTATGATCCGGGCTCATTGACACAATGGTGCTGGCAAAGGAACTCTGAAACACTGCATTCATCCATATCTGGAATAAAGAGAAGGGATCTCTAATATAATGTTCAAATCTAACGGGCAGAAAAGGTCACACTGTGAACGCGGAGCCACTTGTAGGCTCAAAGTTGGGCCTATGAAATTTGCCAATATCGAAAAAAAATGTTTTGAAGCTACATCACTTCAGCTGCATTGCTTGGGAATATTGTGCAGTATATGGGAGGCGGTACACGCAGGAATTAGTATTAGTTGAACAGATTTACCAGTGCAGTTGATGCCGTCTTCATCCAGCTCATAGCCTGGCTCACAGCGACACAAATACGAACCGTAAGTGTTAACGCAGTTTTGGACACATGGGTTCTGTGTGGTACATTCATCAACGTCTGGAGTTGAGCAAACAAAAAAAGAGAAATAGCGGATTAAAATCAACTGACCAAAAACTAACATTGGATACACGAGACTACTAAAAATGCAGCCTATCCATTCACTAGAGACCGGTGACATCACTGAGGATGCAGCCTATCCACTCACTAGAGACCGGTGACATCACTGAGAATGCAGCCTATCCCTTCACTAGAGACCGGTGACATCACTGAGAATGCAGCCTATCCATTCACTAGAGACCGGTGACATCACTGAGAATGCAGCCTATCCATTCACTAGAGACCGGTGACATCACTGAGAATGCAGCCTATCCATTCACTAGAGACCGGTGACATCACTGAGAATGCAGCCTATCCACTCACTAGAGACCGGTGACATCAATGCAGTTTGTCTTTTTGGGAATGCATATACTAAATTTCTTAGTTCTTGCACATCGCAATTCCCCATCTGGTTTATATTGATGCCTCCACATACCTTGGCATGATCTTCCATCTGTGTTCAGCAAAAATCCCGGGTTACACGTGCAGGAGTAAGAACCGGGCACGTTGGCACACAGCTGCTGGCAGTACCCGTATCGGCATTCATCAATGTCTAAAAATAAAAAATAACTTTATTTATGAGTGTGAATCTCTCCAGCGAGGACACAAGACAACAAAAAAGACTTGACAGGGGCTTCTAACACCTCCTCACTATATCCCAAACTAAAGTTTTGGCTTCACATAGATTTGAAGGGCATCTGCAATGTTTCAGATAACTATCGTTCGTTTGAGGTTTTTGGAACACCACTCTTTA